GTGTTGGGCGCCACGCACGGCACCCGCTCAGTGTTGGGCGCCACGCACGGCACCCGCTCAGCCGCCTCGCTCAGCCCCTTAACTGGAGGGTTCTAAAAGGAAACCAGACATTTCTGCCTTCTTCCTTTCACAACTCCAAACCCAAGCAATGGGAAAAGAGTTAGGCATGGTCATTTCCCAAACTTCTAGCAAAATACAAACAACTATTCTAGTCTTTGTCAAAGTTAAAGCCTTTTATACAAAATCACTAACTGGCCAGTGAAGGTCTATAATTAAAGCTTCTTGCCATACTCAGATGGTAAGTTCCTAGGCCAGTCACTATGTAAATAAAAGCTGGAGGGAGGTGATATAATTAGCAGTAAGATACTAAATCGCTGTTATTATGTCTCCCTGCTATTTTTCATTTTTACTTTAATGGATTTCTGCAGCTTCTACAACTAGAGATAGAAGCAGTAACTAAAAGTACTTGCTCTTTTGAGGACTAGAGCTTGAATGCTGGCTCCGATGTAAGGAGCCAGGGTGGGTGCCACACACCTGTACCCCAGTGATGAGGAGGGAAGAGGTAAGAGCATTACAGGAGTTTCCTCACCGTAAGTCCAGAGGGAAAATGTAAGCTCCAGGTTCCTGAGACACCCTGCCTCAAAATAGTAAGCGACAGAGCAAGACACTATCAGCCTCCTCAAGCCTCTGCATGCACAACTCCACACACATGTGCACCAACAGATACAACACACACACACACACACACACACTCCTAACAATTGAAACATGGAGCTGACAATCGATGCAAGCTCTCTCGTCAGGTTTAGTACACACTAACCCACAGACATCATCCTTTTAAAAGCCTTATCCAAATTTCTGAAATATTTTTTCAGTTTCTGACTTGTCTTAAAATTTTCTAAATGGGAAAATATTAAAGGACACAAAGGCTCACTTACCAGATGTCTGAGCTCTTTCAGATCTCGACACACAGTGTAGAAAACTCCAAGGAGAATATTAATATAGGCAGCATAAAAGTCAGCCGAGTACTCTGGAGGATGGTCGTGGGACAGGATCTTTTGAAGGTTCCCTGTTCACAGAATACAGACTAACTCAAATGAGCAGCATGGAAACATAATCACCATGTTCCAGGATGTTATAGTTTTTAAGAAAACAAACATTTAGGTCCAGCAATAATTAGCGAAAATAAGTGATTACTAGTTAAAAAAGGATAACTCTATGATAGAATAACTTGTATTTCTTTTTCTTCATGGCACAAAACTTCTTAAATGGAGGCTTAATTCCCTCCAAAACATACCTGAGCTTACACTAATAAGGTGATCTGACTGGGGCCTCTCCACGGCTAACAGGTGAGAGATAGTTGCTAGAGCTCCTACTTCTTGGCCTTCAGGGAGAAGAGAAAGGTTGAGGGCCAAGTTCATCCCCAATGCATGATGATTTAGTCAGCTGTACTGATGTAAAAGAAGCCTCAGCAACTCCCCTAAATGATGGGCGTTCAGAGACAGCACAGACTGTAAATGAGTCCACATGCTGGAACACGCCTCAACTCTGCAGGACAAAAGTTCCTAGGCTTGGGGCCTCCCTGAACCTCAGTTTGCATCTCTTCATCCAACTGTTCACATCTGCCCCTTTTTTTTTTAACCTTTTACAATGATCTGACAGCAGCAAACACAGTGGTAAGAAAGTATGATGATTTCTTGAGTTCTGTGAGCCCTACAGGCAAACTGTTAATCCAGAAGAGAGGACCAAGGGAACCCCATTTTTCCCAGAGTCTTCAGAAGTCAGTTCTGTACTTGGAGCTAGCATCTGCAGGAGAAGCAGCTCTGTGAGACACACACTTTAGCCTGTAAGGTCTCCACACCAACTTCTGGAAGCTTCAACGGAATTGACAAACAACTGTCAAACTGAACTAAGCAAGTAAAGAACTGATTGTTGGATGGAGAAAAACAAAACAAAGCCCACAACATTTGTTATCAGAAGTGTTTTTAGTAGAAATAATCCAGAAAGAGTAACGTAAGTGAACCTAAAAAAATCCCATAAATGTTTTAAGGAGAGTCACTAAATAATGACACCAAATACAAAACAATAACATGCAGAGAACGAAGCACGAGACTTTCACTGTGGGCAAAGAAAAGCAAAGATGAAACGCCATATGGGTTTAGTTTATGCTTTTGCCTATTAAGAATTATCAACTAGAAAAAAACTCGCAACAATCTAGGAAATGTTCTTCATTAGTTAAAAAACACACATATTTACATTATGGTTCATAATAGTAGCAAAATTATAGTTATGAAGTAGCAATAAAAATAATTTTACGGTTGGGGTCAACATAACATGAGGAACTATATTAAAGGCTCACAGCATTAGGAAGGTTGAGAACTGACTTGGATGAAACTATAAATTCATAGATCTAGAATAACAAAAACACATTAGACTACACAATAAAAGCTATTTTCTATTTTATTAAAACAAAAAGAGTATTGCAGGTGTCTAATAAACAGTACCAAGGGGCTTACAGGAGGAAGGGAAACACAAGACACATGTGGAACACACAGTCTGTGCAGTAGGAAATTGTAAGTCCCTGACTTTTTCATATTGTTATCAGAGCAGGACTTAACCTATGCTGACAACAACTGAGCCACACCTAAGCAGAGGGAGGACAAAGCAAACAAGCCCCTGCTAAAAGACAATCTTCTGCACGTAATAAAGGCTTTGGAACTGGAGCCGTGGCTACAACTGGAAAGGTGCCCTTGAAACCAAAGCCACGTCCTTAGAAACGCACGGCTGTCAGGCTGACACGACAGGCCCGCCAGCTGCCAATCCTTTGCCTTCATTCCGAGCTGCACATGATCTGGTTTACCAGTTAATGTTTCGGTTTTGAAGAGAGAAATTATGATTAGAGTACTTCTGCTATGCTTAGAAAGGCCCTAGAACTTAATAAACAGATGTAACATGGCTCCATTTATCATACGGTTAACAGGTCTGTTTTCCTACATGACAAATTAGAAAGACTGCTATATTTAATATTCTCCTGAAATTCCATCCATGCTGCTTTGTATCTTAAAAAAATCAGATTCTACAATGATATCATACTTTTACCTTCATGATACAGAAAAACCTGTGCAATTCCATAATTTTCTTAACTTTGAAACAGTTTTCCAATATTTGAAACTAAGATGGAAAACAGGAAAGGTCAGGTCAGCAATGACAGACCAAAAGCAACTGTTTACTAAAATCCTTCGAATAAGCCTTTCCTTTATTATTTTGTGATTTGTATGGATGAGAAGCTATTAGAAATAAGGTTTTCATCTATTTTGAGTTCCTTTAAATAAAAAAACAGTCAATTAGTTAAAGCAGGAGGTGTTATTTGGTTTCCATTCTTGTGAAAACAGGCAAAACTGTGTTGCTCTTGGCAATGAATGTTTATAGCTCATGAGCCGAGAGAACAGTGTTAATAAGGCCAAGATCACGGGATGCTATTTTCTCACAGCTATGGCACCTTATGCTTCACAGCTACAACCCGAGTCAGCGGTATCATCTCTGTATAATCATAGCTCAAATTCATTAACCTACAAGGCCATTAAACAATACAAAAGTACTGTGTTCTTTCAAAGCAATAAATTATTAGACCCTATAAAATCTAAGATTAACTATAAACTTCAAGAAATAAAAGAACTAGCAGTAGGCACAGTAAGAGTTACAGCAACAACAAAATTTTATAGACCCAAGATACATGGAATCCAGGTATATGATAAAGATTTCTCTACAGTGATAACATGTGTTACCTATCTAGTTTGCTTCTTTCTTGTGTGGATGTTATAATCACAGTATACACACACATGAACGAATTAATGATGAAAGCTTACCCTCAGCAAACACATGAGACCTGCTCATTTAGTGATTATGAGAACAGTACCTTCAGGTTTTCAAAAAATGCAGATGCAGGCATTTTGAGACTGGCAACAAAACCGATACCAAAGTATCTCAGGCTAACCAAGGCTCAAACAATTAAAACTTACCTATGCTATAATCAGGGAAATACAAGACAAATGGTTCAAAGCATCCGGTGTTTGGACGAAACTTTTCCCAAATAATCTCACTGAGAAAGATAACAGTCACATTTCTGTCAGTCTGCAAAGAAAAGGGAAGAAAAGTTAACTTAGTATTTAAGAATCTGAGGGCAGTAATTCCCTTTAGATTTATCTTCAATTGAATTCAGCAAAGCTTAACATATGCAACAAATTATTTGCATATTAATAAACTGTATTTAGAAAACCTAATCAGAGAGCTCAACCATTTGCAAATTTTCATACATAATTGCTTGGAATTTCCATAAAACTGTAGGCTAATCAACATTTCAGTTATTCATGAGCACCAGAGCAGTCACGCAAGAACGTATTCTGTAGATACTAAGAAACACATCTGCTTGGAAAAATTAAGACAAAATCCTGTGAGAATTTTTTAAAATCTTGATAGGTATTTCCCATCATTAAAATATTTACAGCAACTCAGAGAAAAAGAAACATGGATTTGGATAAAAGTAGATCTGTCATATTGTATAACTTCATATTATTAAGAAATACTAAAGCTTTCTGTTTGTTTTCAAATTATTGAGAGACATTAATGGCCACTATATATTAAAAATGCAAATAACTATGACTAATAATATTCCTCTAAATCATCAATGCTACGTAAAAGAGGTTATCTTTTCAAACATATTTAAAAATTTCACTTAGTTGACCAAAAGCAATAATAAAAGCTGAATGTGCCCTTTATCCTTTAGCAGACTCGTCACAAATGCCTGTGCATCCAGCTAGACTTCATCCTGACGCTCCTTAACTTTCCCATATTCTTTTTGGCTAACAATGCAGATGTGGTATCTGTTCTGGTCTGTAAGCATTCTTAGGACCCAATTTCATATGTAAGTTGTACTACATTTTGGGGATAATTTACTATTTGATTTCTAGCAAGTGTGCTTCTTATATGCTGTGCTTTTTGCATTACTTAGAAATATAATTCCTTTGATTAACAAAAACAGCTGAATTTAATGGATAAATAATTCCACAGAGAAACTGGTCATCTTTATGAAGGAAAGGAAAATATGGGGGGCACAGAGGTCCTGTACTCACAGGGAAGCACTAAAAGAACCAGGAATGTTAACCACACAGGGTGTCTCCGCAGTGCAAGAGATAAAATACCTGCATTCCATCCAGAAAGCTGAGAGTAGATTCTGTTAAGACCTGGTGATCCTTTGCTATCCATGGAGGAAGACCTCCCCCCAATTCCCCAGAATGCTTATCCCAGACTCTTCCCTCCCGAGATCATTACCCACCCTGAGAGTAGACATCACAAGTACTTTATGACCTGCTTACCTCCATGCTATCGGTCAGAGACCACACTAGACTCTAGGCCTTGTAGTTACAGAACCCACCCTCTTGGGCACACGTACTGTGCAAGAGTTTCTCTGTAGTTTACACTGTGAAGACGTGTCACTGTGACTGGTTTAATAGAGAGCTGAAAGGCCAACAGCTAGGCAGGACTTCTGGGAGACAGAGGAAGAGGAGGAGCAGGATGCCAGAGAGACGCCAGGGAGAAGTTGCACATAAGGAACAGAGCAGAGGTAACCACACCACGAGGCAGACCATACATTAACAGAAACAGGTTAATTTGACTTATAAGAGCTAGCTGAGGACAAGCCTAAGCTAAAGGCCAAGTTTTCATAATTAATAATGATAAGTCTCTGTGTCACTATATGGGGGCTGGTGATCCACGGATAGTCTGACAAGAAAGCTACATGACACTTTAAACAGGGACTGGACTTCTTGTTACCTAATCCTTTCCCCAGACTGTACTGTTTTAAACAAGCTGACAATGAGCCGCCTCATTAGACTCCCTGAAGTCTGATCTGGTAGAGAAAGCTGCTCTACCTAGGTTTTCATGATCTCTTCCCAATGTGTCACTGCCTGGAGACCTGCAGGGCCAAGTTTCTACCACTGAGCTACACACCAGCCCCAAAGAAGACTTTCTGAATGCCTTTATCTTAGAAACTCACTGATTTAAAAAAAAATAATTCTGAGTTTATTTAGACTTAAAAGTATGCTCTATCCATATTCCTGATCATAAAGCTCACGCAAAAATTGTCAGATTTATTTTTACTTATTTATCTAGTGTGTTCACATGCGTGGGTCCACTTGAGCACCACAGTACGAGCGTGGAGGCCACAGGACAACTTGCTGGAGCTGAATCTCTGTGATCATCAGGGTTCCAGGCAGCGAATGTGGACCACCCGGCTCGGTGGCAGGTGCGCTTAACACTGAGCCATCCTGCCAGCTCAAAAAGACAGCTTATAACTTTATAAAAAGTTAAACATATATCCAGAAGTTGGAAAAAAAAAACAAGATCAATAATTTGAAATCTGTAGTATTTTTAACTGTTTATCTTAAAATACTTCTAGTATACAATGTTTTATCACAATTTAAATTTCCTTTGACTCAGACACTTAAAGTAAAAAATAGAAATGCTTTTATTAAGTTCCTCTGAAATGGAATACAATTCAAAATCAAGTATCCTCTCAGAAATGTTAAACTGATGGTTCCCTTTCCCAGTAGAGATTGTAATAAAACTTCAAATTTTCTCCAAGTAGTTTCTATAACTGAAACAAAAGTAAAAGTCCTTACTATTGTCACGGTCACTCAATACCAGTAGTAGGTATGAAGAGAAAAACAGGAAGGGTAAGAATAAAGTCTAGGGTAGCAAGTGTGGGAAACAATGAGTCAAGGCCTACAAAAAACCACAAATGTAAGCGGAGACTGTGCATTCGTTCCCAGCCGCCCAGACCCAAATAATCACACAGAAACTATATTAATTACAATACTGTTTGGCCCATGTCTCAGGCATATTTCTAGCTAGCTCTTACCTCTTAAATTAACCCATTTCTATCCCCACAAGGCTGTGGCCTACCAGGAGGCATCTTTCTCCTTTGGTAGCTACATGGCATCTCCCTGACTCCGCCTACTCTCCCTATGTATCTCTGTTCTGATTTCTCACCTGCCTTTACTCTGCAAAGCCATTGGTTGAAACAACTTTATTCATCAATCAATAACAGTAACACATATACAGAAGGGCATTCCACAACACACAAACACCAACAAAAACAAAACAGATGAACAAAACCCAAAATGAGGACTGAAAACAGACAGGCGCCTTGTAACAGCAGTAATCACTGAGAGTGAGCCACGGACCCCAAGGCGGCCTCGCTGCACTGCTCTCTCTAGCTCTGCTCTCTCGCGGGACACAGGGACTTCACCGGCACTGCGAAGTCTCTTACACTTGCAGCACTGTAACTATCCCAGTCGGCTCATGTTTGTGAACAACTGGTCCCCGGCTGTTTTACAGTTGGGAGGGTTATGGGAGATTTTGCCTTGATTCTCAGTACAATGCTACTAAACACTTTGGTACAAATGAACATATAGCTAGAAAGTATAATCTAATTATGTTCTAATCACTGATAAAATAATAAAACCAAAATAAGCATATAATCAGCCACAAAAATCAATGAGGTCTGAATTACTCTTAATTGAAGAAGACAATGGTACTGTTCTGCTCAGACAGTTCTTTGTCTTGGTGAGTAAAACCCTAACGGGTTATGTATAACTATCCCCACCCTGCATTCCTGGATGGATACTACTGAGGACTGAATTCTCTCATCAATTTTCTTTCTTCCAACTATTCAAATCACTGTGCTTTCCCCCTGTAATCACTGATAATGTGCATACTCAATCTCTCCTACTATCACAACAACTGCAGTTGTCTTAATTAAGGCAGTTCAGTGAGACCACAACAGCTGAGTAAAGAGCTGCACGCTGACAGAGTGGCTGGCAGATAGACCATAATAGCCGAGTGAAGAGCTGCACGCTGACAGAGTGACTGGCAGATAGCAAACCAGACGATCCGAGTAACTACATCATGACTTCTGTAGATCAAAATGAAGGAACGCTGTAGATTTCAATGTCTAGCCCCCTCTCATTAATGACTAAATACTTGAAATTCTTTAATAGATGGCAAATTACTTTATAATTGAAAGCTAAAATAATTTATTAAGTCTACCAAATCATAAATAAATACCACTATGGGAAAAGACTGAACTTTAATCATCAATACAACATATTGGGTAGGGAACATATGATCTATTGAGGGAAACCCACTCTGTATATTACTTACCAATTCTTGTAACCTAAGAAACCCAGGCAAAAGATTTGCTTCCATGTCTCTTAGATATTCAGCTTTATCCAGAACCTTAAAAAGATGTTTACATGAAAATAAATTCTTAACGTATTTTATAAAGAATAACATACTGTAAGATTTTTAAACTTTCCATGTTACAAAGAAAAAAAAGTAGCATTTTAAAGTAAGCTTAAATTTACTTTCAAAAGGCTATTTACAAATTAAAAACATGTTTCAAAGAGATTAAGCTAAAAACAGATTGCTAATTGTTTAAACTGCTAGATAACTCTAAGATTAAGTTTTGTTCAAAGTTATAATGCTTTTGCCATAATGTTTCCTAAAACATACAGACACTAGATATATACAGTGGACATTTATGAGTAACATCATGTAAAATAGAACAGTCGAATGGTGATGAGTTTGGTCACGTTAATAACTATTAAAACTGACCAATGAAGTCATAAGGGTACTCCTTAAAAAATATAACCAGTCACATTATCACACACTTTAAAATTTGGCATTATTTCTTAATATCATCAAATAGCCAATACTCAAAATTTTCCATACTTGTTCCCCCAAAAATGCCTCATTAATAGCATGGATGGTTCAAGATTCATGAATGCATGTGTTCACACATGCATTTTCTCACAGTTCTTGGAAGCCAAAACCTTAAAGACAGTTTCACCGAGCCAAACTTAGAGTTACCAGCAGCACTATGGTAAGCACAGTGGCTCCTGCCCTTTCCGTCTTCTGCAGCCTCGATAGCCGTGGTACTGGAATAACGAGGCTTGTTACCCACATCGTTCCAGTCCTAAAGGCAAATATCCTCAACCTTCTGATTTCCTGCAGCTTTTACAGTCTGGTCTTGTCCATCTGTGTGGCACACTTAGGTATCTCTATCTACTGACATTTAGGATTAAAGTCTGCTTCTTCCCAGATAATCTGGGTGGATCTCTCCACCTTAAAAGCCTTTTCCCAAATGAAGCAGTATTTCCAGGGCTCAGGGTTAGGACTTGGTGTCTTCTTGGGGCTATTACTTGCATACTGCAGTGCAGTGCAGTAGTAAATTACATTCTCTAGGTAATCAATAAACTGATATTTTTTAACTATTTATCTAATATGTTCCTATTCATTCAACTCATTGAAAAATTTTAGAGTTAATTCTTTTAGAACTTCACATATGTATACAATGTATTTAACCATGGGCACCCCACTTGTCTCAAACCCCTCCTGGATTGCATTTACCCACACCCTGCTTCTAACTTCATGTCTTTTTTTCTTCTTGTCCTGTTAACTAACTCACTGAGTACAGTTAGGGCTGCCTGTATGTGTATGAGAGTGAGGGCAAACTCCCAGTTAGGGCAGCCTGTATGTGTATGAGAGTGAGGGCATCCACCAGAGCATGGGCAAACTCCCAGGGGCCACACCCTGCAGAAAACCAACCCTTCCTTCCTTAGTGGTCACCAACTGCCAACAGCTCGCAATGAGGGGTAGGGACCTCATGAGCTCCTCCTTGTGCAGACAGCCACAGCTGCTCTTGTTCATGGCTTCATACCCCTAGATCCAGAAGACACTGTCTGCTCCTGGTTTGCCCAATCTCTGTCCTCTCTCCCACTGTTCTCTGAGGCTTGCCTGGGGGTATACTGATACAGATTCTATTTAGGGCTGAGATTCCACAGTCACTTATTCTCTGTACTTTTGACCAACTCTACGTGTCTGTATTCATAACCATCTCCTGGGGAAAAGGAAGCTTCTCTAGTGAGCTCTTAGCTATGCTAATCTATGGGTAGGAAGACAAGCATTTATTTAGAAGGCAGTTTGATACTATGTCCATTAAGCAAAGGAACAACACCAGGTTTTCCCTTTGGGCCTTTGACTTCTCTGGCCACAGGTTCTGACCACGCTTACAGCAGTTTCCTCCTAAGGAATAGGCCTTAAGTCTAACCAGAAAGTGACTGGACCTCCCCCCCCACCCCGAGGCATTACTATTACACCAATGGCCATATCCTGCCAGGCTACTTGTTACTGGAGCTCACAGGGTTCACAGCGAGGTAAGATGGTTGATGACTTTTCTCCTCCAGCAGCCTGCCAGCACGTGACACTGAGAGCCAGGCAGAGGGGAAGCTTCCAGGTCAGAACCAGCATGACTTAACTCATCCTTAAGTAGTCAGACTGTCTCATCTGGGCAGTATGAGCCTCTTCAAACTGGCTTCCACGCTCTCCATAACAACCCTAGTAGTCAGTGAGAGTCTCCTAACTTTAAAATGTGACAAGACGTTCTGTGTTATCTAGTGCATTACCTGTGGGAACTAGAGTCCCCTTCTCTAAAAAAGAACCCATTTTAATACCATAAACATTCACACTTTAATAATAAATCTTCTTGCAAATTATATAATCATTTAAATTAGAAATAAAATTAAGATGCAGGATATATAGGTTCCCTGAATAATCCAGATATTTTATCTTGCAACAATGTATGAGAAAAATTATATTTAAAATATTCAATTCTTAGTTTTGACAAACTAAAGGTACAATTTACTACAATAAAGATATAAAGTAGTTTTTCGACTATACATTCTCATTAGGAAATTTCTCATCAATCTCCATTTAAACAACTCTCTAGGCTAGAAAACTAACTCAAAAGAATTGGTCCACTTCAGTGAAAAAATACAAAGCAGAAATAGCAAATTAAGAGTCTATTGTTTTAATCTGATAAAGATTAACTGTTATAACTAATGACTTCATTATTCTAATTTATGATCCTTCTTCAAAAGCTATTATCAGACAACTATGATTCAAAAGGAAAACTGAGATGTAAATATTATTCTTAATGATTTATAGTAAGGTATTCTAGTAGATTCTCAATTTGTAAGCCACAATAAGCAGAAAAATTTTAATAAATAGAAAAATTCTTAACCAACTTTCTACATTATTTTCTAAGGAGTAAAGCTTTCAGATTTTTAGTTACAGACCAGTCTAAACTTGTTCTGTACCAAATATCTGTATACTTTTCTACCCTAATGTTTAGCCAATAACAAATGCTTCTTGGGTACTTACCTCAGAGTATGGGCTAGCACTTGCGCTCTCTCTCTCTCTCCCCCGCCCCATCTCACTAAGCCTACAAATTCTGTGTTTGCTAAAGGCAGCCGTATATTCTGGAACCAATCCTTCATCTATCAATTACATCATGTAGCCACCCTTCCCTGAGACAACTTCTATACACTACATTTCGATATTTCAACTTCTACAGAGATGGCCCTCTGGATATGCAATTCTGTTAAGCAAAGGCCCCTTTTGGCAGTAGTTCTAAGACATGTTTGTATCACAAAAGCACCTTCCACGGAGTACTACACAAAATAAGACTCAAAATAAATACATGGAAGTGGATCTACGGCACAATCAGTTTTCAAATGAAAGATGATGTAATCACGTTAAATTACTTACAATATATACAGTCTGATCCTTGAGATTTTCAGTACTGGTCACTTGCTTAAACAATCGAACAAAGTCATTAAATGTTTCACAGGTTATTTCTGTAGGACATTCTGCCTTTGAAGAATTGAGATGACTCAACTTGTTTAGAATTTGTTCCAAAAGTAGCTTCAAAGTAAAGCATTCAACACAGTTCACAAAGGCATGTGGGAGCTGAAAACCAAAACCAAAACAGAGTAAACAAAAGCATATAAAGTTTCTACTGATCGTCCCTGATCACCTCCATCACTCTACACCTGCTGCTCTCCACCACCCTGGGCCCCAGGATCCTCCTGGCCAGTATAAATGACATCATCACTCTGTGGCTGGAAAAGCCAACAGGAAGAGGCAGCTAGGGACTGAAGCAGAGCTGCTGAGGAAAGAAGTTCAGCATTTCTTCCCTTGACACTGCACGCTGGCAGTGTCTACATTCTGCTACCAAAGGCCCGAGCTCCTGCTACTGCTCTTGCTGGGTTCTGGCAACAGTGTTCTCTAAGGTTCCTCGAGGTCTCAGGGGTGATAAAGGCCATGATGAATTGCTGTCCCTTAAAACATCCTTACACTCACTTTTGTGATTTGAGTTTGTCATTTGTCTTCCTCTAAGACCCAAAGTAAACTTGTATTTTCCTCTTTAAGTATTAGTATAAAGAAACAAATTACTTTTAAAAGTTAAAATTCCTAGTGGGAATTTTCCTTACTAAAGAATTTGTTTCCTAGTGGGTCACATTTATTTATTAGAGAGGTGCCATCATTATTTCTTAGGTACAGCGCTCATAATATCTTGCTTACTTCCGTGCTATCCTTGACTCAAATAACAGCATTCTTTTTCTAAGCACATATTTTGGTATCTATAACAGAAGCAGTGATAGTCATACCTAACACTGATTAAGTCATTGCGAAAGTAACAAAATGGTAAAAACATAATACATTCCTTAAACATAAAACTTCCTTACTGGATTTTCATGCTTTTATTCAACATGTATTCTCTGGATACGTCATACACAAGCTTTCAAAAAAAAAAAAAAAAATGGCGACCAAACACCTTGTATGTTCAGATTCTGAAGTCAGATATGAAATGCAACATCTTTGTGTTTAAAATGCCAGCTGATCTCTGGGATCAAAGACTAGTATCTACAACTAAAAATGTGCCAAGCACTGTGCTTGTGAGGACGATACACATGTGTGTGTGTATCTATATGTATGTACATGTATTTTTTTTTAAATCACATCCAGGAAACACAATACAAAAAAGAAATTATAGCTAAAAAATGTTGAAGTCACAAAACAGGGGTGTATTTTAACATAGCATTGGAAGTCAGGAAGTACTTCCTAGAAGTAGAAAAAAACACGGCTAAATAATCATTTGTCAATCAACAGCACATTAGAAGGAGGGCGAGTGAGTAGAGGACTGTTGTTCCAAGGAGTAGAGCAACACAGGCCAAAGCCCGAAACAGAGCAGGAACCCTATGCATTTCAGCAGGCCATCTCACACGTGTCCTCGGAGCTGAGGTAAGACCAAAGCTTGTGGCCTGCACATCTGTTTCTCTGTACTCAGTTGCTGAAGATCACAGCCTTGCCCATTCCAATAGATACTGCTTACTGCTAGCTTAGGAAATGAACAGTTGTGTGATGATATTCATAAACAGCATCTAAGCATTACTAACTGCTTATGATACTATACAGGAATGCATTTTTCATGGGTTAACATTTACTATCCCAAAGGTTGTCTACTTGCCCCAGTTCACAGACAGGAAAGCCACTGTGCAGAAATCCTAGGAACAACAAAGGGAAGTGGAACTGAGAGAGCCATAGCCATGAGTAAACACAGACGAAGGCCTGTCTTCACAAGGGAATGTACTTATCCAACTGTTTAAGGATAAGAAGAAGTTTTTGTTTTTAAATCCAGTGTCAATGGTGAAGGTCATTCAGACAGGAAATAGGAAAAGAGCAGGATGAGGGTATGTGCGGCTTTACATATGCGAACATCAGAAAGATCAGAGTCAATACTACAAGTCAAGAGTGAAAAGGAAGCATCTTATGTTAAAAAGTAAATTTTAACATTTTTAAAAGCTATTACTTGTTTATCCAACTACTAACTACTAGGCACCAAAGAGAGTTCTTGCCCAATTTAGAACTTTTTTACCATCAGGATTTATGTTACTAACTAATAGCTTTTGAGGCTTATATACGTTCAAAGTATTCCAACAAGATTTGGGTAGACATGCTTTCTATAGCTGATGATACTCTAGAGAAAGGAAAATCAGAGTAAGTCACACGGATCCACCCCTCTCCAGCAGCGCAGGAATGAAGGCCCATTAACATCAGGCTCAGGGGCGTCCTTACCTCCAATGCCTTCAACAGAGTTTGTGTCACATAGGTCTTCCCGCTGGCAGTGTGTCCGTAGATAAAGATAGATGGAAAGCTGAAATGATGTCTCTAGGAAAGAAAGGCCCAGTTTATGTCTGGATGAACCCAGAAATGAGCATTTACCCGCCGGTAAGAAAGTTCTATTGGTACAGTATAATACTAAGCCCAAGTTATTTCAATGATGCACGCAGGTAAAGTCTTAGTATTCTAAACTTAAATTCAACTCAAAACACTTTCCCTTATGAAATTATCTTGAAAATTTATATGTGGCCATTATTAGCCATGTATCATATAACCGTAATTTTATTATTACATGGGTTTGCACATACAAACCCCTGTATTCTCAACTTTCTAAGAGATTTAAGAGATTTTTTTTCACGGGCAATTTCACCTATACTATATTTTAAATATTTTTCAAAGAATCTAATGTCTTTGTCGGCTACAATTTCATTATACATTTTATTGTTTAAAACTAAAACAATGGAAAACAAGAGACATTTTTGAAGTCTTATTCCTAGGAAATCTCAAATACTTCTGATTATGCATAATCATTTATCTTGGCATAAGTGTATATATTTCCTCAAATCAAACATTGATGGAATCTACATAGTAATATCAGATACAGGTGTATAGTTCCATGGTATATCCCTTGCTTAGAATGTGTAAGGTCCTAGATTTGATCCCTAACACCACGAAAAAGTTAAAACGCATATGCAGAGATGGCTTTGTCAGAAGCAAACTATCAAATAATATCAATATTTATGAGATAGCCATTAATTGCTGATAACTATAAGATACTGAACAGTTAAAGACAGATGAGACTCTGGAGGGTTAAAATCTACTGGGGAGATCTAAATTTTAGAAATTATTTCAGATACCATTTCATAAGCAGAAAGGAAGCTTATGGCCACCTTCAACAGTTTTTTTCAAAGCTAGAAGAAATCTCCTTTATGCTTCCACACTTGCTTACATCTACTATTTGGTGCCTAATACAATATTCCCTGCCCCACCGGGTTTCTATCGCTGTTATAGCATGACTAAAAGCAACTTGGGGAGGAAAGGGTTTATTTCAGCTTCAGTCATAGTTCAACATGAAGAGAAGTCAGGACAGAAACTCAAGGCAAGGACCTGGGAGGAGGAACGGATGCAGAAGTCATGAAGGAAGGCTGCTTACTGGATTGTTCCCCATAGCTTGCTCAGTTTCATTTCTTTATGGCTCAGACCACCTTCCCCAGTGGGCTGGACCCTCACACATCAATCACTAATTAAGAAAATGCCCTGAAGACTTGCCTACAATCTGTTGCAGGCATTTTCTCAGTTGAGGTTCTCTCTTCCCAGATGACAACAGTAACCAATACATTCCCCCTTAATAACAACTTTTATATTGTTACCTAGAGTTTAAAAAGATCTCTTACACTGTTACTTTTCACGTTCACAAACCTTCCCAAATAACAAGCCAGAATCTGCTACAGTGCCTTCCATAAAGAAGGTGCTCAGAAAATATACACTTGCTAAACAAATGATCATCGTCTAAGCATCATGGGCTAGTTGCTTATTGTTGTTATTTTGGGATTGTTATTGTTGTTTGGTATTTATTTGCTATAGTGGCTCTTTGTATTTTCCACACGCAAACTTCCTTGAAGAAAAACACTGCTTTTGCTAAACATAATTTGCTAAAAGTACTCCTCTTTCTGAGTACTTTTGGTTGGAGTAATCTGGGTGTATCAAGTCGAGTGAAGGAATGTATAGGGCACAACCAAGTTTGTATTTCAATAATATGGGTAACTCTAACTGAATGCACTAAAACTAGAAAAGTCGACGCAGCTGATCTCTAGCTTAACTGATGTGACCCCTTTAGATGGAGGTACTTTTGATAGGTCACTTTAGACTCAATTTAACACTCAGCTGGATGAAAATACATTTTTAAAAGCCAACTAAATGTAGATAAGATCTGTAGTGGCATTCCAACTGGATTTTAATAAAGCTTGCCTGGGGATTGGGAAAATAAAACAGGCAGCCTGGTCAGCCTTACAGCTAGGCAGTAGTAATGCACATCTTTCATCCCAGTAGCCACACTAGTTACCACAGAAAACGGGCAGTGCATGCCTTTAATCCCAGAGGTGCACACCTTTAATACCAGCCCTAGAGAGGATTAGAAGACAGGAGGAGACAGCTCTCAGACACAGTCTCATTATGAGATTCCTGGAGTCTGGATCGCCAATTCGGAATGAGGTCGTGGTAAGAGCCAGTGGCTGGCTGCTTTGCTTTTTGGATCTTCAGGTTGAACCTCAATTTCTCTGAGTTTTTAATCGTGCTTCAAAGATTCAAGTGAAATTAATTCTAACTAATGAGAACAATGCAAAAGGCACACGAGAAATGAACGGTACCCCTGTCTATGAAAAGCAATCTCTAGGTGTGTTCCTTTCAGTGGAGTTCTCCCACCTAAAGCATCTCATCTGCTAGTCAGGGAGGGAAATCCAGATGAGACCGCCCCTGGCTTTTATAATTCTGGAAAAGCTGCAGGACTTTAAAGGCTAAAATACAGCATTATCCTAAGTGATCTTGAAGCCAACCACCTCTCTGTATTTGACTTAATCTATACCTCACTGCAAGGGGTGAACTTTCACTTTATGAACACTCTGCAAACAGACTTCTTACATAAAGATTGTGCAGTAGCAACCTGCACAAGCTGTCTGGGGCTCACACATTCGCCAAAGCACGGCCCCATCGAAAGGAGGACCTCTTAGGCAATGTCCCGGGGAGCAGGCCAGCCCTGCCTCTGATGTCTCTAAAATGGACTGAGAAGTTTCTCTGGGTAAGAGAAGATGTTCTGCCGACTCGCCATCCACACACTACTCCTGCAACAGACCCAGGACGCGCTGAACTCGGGAATTGGGGAAACGGTGCGACCACAATACCTCTCCAAACAGGGACTGCAAGGTGGACACCTGAGCCTCTCGACAGAGCACCAGGCTCTCCACGTGGGACATTCTGACGGGTCCCACCCGAAACCGCAGGGTGGGTAGCCGCCAGTCAGCCGGCAGTCTATTCCGGCCGATTTCACGATGCTCAACCACCAGCTTCCCTCCCGGAAGCGCGGAGGCTGGGATGCAGGCGGCGCCGGCGCAATGCAGTGACGTCACAAGCCCGCGCAGCGAGGCCGCCGCTCTAGCCTCCCGGGCGGCGGTTCTCAGTGCTCGGCGCCCTGCGAATGCTCGGCGCCCTGCGAATGCTCGGCGCCCAGCGAATGCTCGGCGCCCTGCAAACGCACAGCTGTGCAGCCCTAATCCTGGGAGGACGGGGTGAACGGCGGGGGCCTCTCACGACACGCCTCGGGTGGCTTCGGTAAAAAAATACCCAGAGGCTTCCCCCTGGTAGAAACTGAATGACATTCGGCGCGAAAGGGAGCTCTGTGGGATTTAATAAATTTAAAGTAATGTTTCGTTTGTTTGTGCAAGCTTGGAACGAGATGTAGAAGTGTAAGAGTGTTGGTTAGGGCAATGGGAGTCAACATAATGCTATCCTCAGCATACGCCTTCTTTACATTTGTATTTATCTGTAGGACACCTAGAAGCAAGATATTTGAAGAGCCTTGAAATTAAAGGAAGGATAGAAATAGAATAAAATGCGTCTTAAAAGACAGGGCTTTGGGGCCCTGAAAAAAAAAAAAATTGGTCTGGGAGCATTGACTCAACTATTTATGAACGTTGAGACGCTAGGAGGATCTTTGAACTTTCATTTAAACTTCCTTATATATAAAATAAGGACAGCGGTAGATTATTTCTAAGAATAGAAGGTAACGTTCACAGTGGTGTCTGCTACAGATAGATGTTAAAGCCAGTGCAAAAAGATAAAAAAAAAAAGGTGCACCCAGATTCGAAAGAGGCTCACTATGTATTACTGAACAGTACAGCTGCCTACGGAGGAAATAATCTAGTTGCTTCTTCAAAAGAGACGCTAGCCTAGCTCTGACAAGTCAACGTGCAAGGCCTCCAGGTGTAAGACAACTGTCCTCACACAGTGGCAACGAAGAACTATGAAGTACTTAAGAATGAAATGGACCCAATAAAATGGACCAAATAAAAAGGCCTGCACACACACACAAAAAAAATACTGAATGACAATAAAAAAGACATTTCTAAAAACAACTGTACTGCATTGTAAGAATTATGTTTGTTAAAATTAACCTGGTTTTCCCAAAATGATAATGCAGATTTAATAAATAAATAAATAATAGAGGTTTTGGTATTTGGGGCATTTTTTTTTTTTTCTGTTGCTTGACTGAAAATGTCCTCCACAGACTCAGGGAGTGGCACTATTAGGGGGTGTGCCCTGTGGGAGGAAGTGTGTCACTACAAGTAGGCTTTTAGGTTTCAAGTGCTCAAGTCAGGCCCAGTTTCTACCTCTTCCTGCTGCTTGCCTATTTGGTTATAGAACTCTGGGCCCTTTTTTTTTTTTTCAGCACCATGCCTGACTGCGTACCACCATGCTTCCCACCATGATGATAGTGAACTAAAATCTCTAAACCTGTAAGCCAACCCAAGTTAAATGTTTTCCTTTATGAGTTGCCATTGTCATGGTTTCTTTTCACAGCAATAGAAACCCTAAAATTGCTTGTTTATTTACTTTTGGTAAAAACTGATTGCTGGAGATTCAACAGCTATTTCATGAAAAAAAAATATACACTGATATAAGCACATTAAAAGATGTTCAGGAACTGGAGATAGGCCTTAAATTGTTAACCCTGCAGGTTTGAGGACCAGGCTTTGGCTCTTAGATGTTCCTGTAAAATGCCTAATACAGATGGTTCTTGCTTCTCCCAGTTCTGGGGAGGTAGAAACAAGAGGATACCTGAGATCAACTAACCAGTCTAGCTGAATCGTGAGCTCCAGATTCAGTGAGAGACCTGCCTGAAAAAAGTAAGGTAGTGAGAGACCCTGCCTGAAAAAAGTAAGTTTGCTTGAGGAAGACACCTGTTATACCTGAGTAACGAGACTCCCCATGAAACCACCATGGAGCAGACTTACTGACGCAATCACGCAAAGGTTTGTTTATTGTTTTACAGGTTTGCAAGCAGGGGCTTTGTCCCATACACAGAGGGTGAGGGAGGAAGGCCTCTGTCACAGTCCAGGGGGTCTTCAAAGGGAAAATCCCCCAAGCAGGGAAGTTACATGCCTTGGCATTACCGGATTGGGTAGGGGAATAGTTGGTTTCAAGTCAAAAGGGGATTTTTGTAACTTTCCACAAAACTGCCTGGTAACTGTAAAAAATCTTGTTTGTCTAGCTTCTGATTGGTTGTCCTCAGATCTCTGGGCAGCCCAGGCAATTTTGGGGCTGGTCGTGGCTTTTCTCTGAATTTACAGGTACATGGGGTGGGGCACCTGGGGTGAGGTGCCTGCTAGGTTAAATGCTCACAAAGATGGGGCCTTGGTTTAAAATGGCGTCAGTCTTGTCTCTTCACCACCCAGCGTCAATGCCCAGCCTACAGTCACACACGTTGCTTTGCAAGGCCGCCGGAAGACATGCTTCCTTCCTCTGTGTCTACACAGTCAGAGATCAATGTCATGAGTGGTTTTTCCGTGGGCTGCCCTGAAACACGTGGTCTGTAGTCTGCAGAAATGTCAGGTGATGAGGAGATATTATGACTATGAAGTCTCACTGTACAAAAGTGCTGGGGAATCTAAACTCAATGCTCTAGTTACATAGCAAGTGCTTAACTAATAGCCCTCTCTCTGCTCCCCTGCCTACGATTTATACCCACTTTAAAGTAGTTTAGGCCTTTTCCGTAGAGTTTATAACGTGGCTAGCTAAAAGCTATGCACATTTATTGGTTGAAGAACACTGTAAGAATTCAGTCTTCCCTTTCATATTTTGTACTTTTATTGTAGTACATTTTAAAATATACTATAAAAACATTGCTACCGTTTTTGCTAAGAAAAAAATCAGCGGTGTCAGTAGTGAAAAACTTTCTGTAATCAGGACAATTAAAATATCTAGTTAGCTCATGGGTTCCATTTGCCTATCTAAATGTTGGTAATCATGCTGGTAGTCAAAAATTTTAGTTTGAAAATATAATTAAATTGTATTACTACCCCTATGCTGAATGTCAAGTCATGTCACATTGAACATCACAGATTTTGGAAGTTAAATATCTTGGAATGGCTACAATAAAAACATTAAATGCACTTATACTAGCCTTTATGTAACTACTTCCACAGCTAGTTTTGCTGGAAAGCGACATGCCTGAGACCTTTGCAGGTCCCATGGCGGGTGGGTCCAAACCACAGTTGCGTGAGGGACAGACAAATATGCCAACAGGCAGACCTTGAATGTGAAGTTTTATTTAAAGGAGGGTATTGAGAGAAAGGTGAGGGTAGAGAGAATGGGAGAGAGAGAGAGAGAGAGAGAGAGAGAGAGAGAGAGAGAGAGAGACAGACAGAGAGGCGGGGGGAGGGAGGGAGGGAGGGAATGAGGGAGGGAGGGAGGGAGAGGGAGAATGAGAAGGGAAAAGAGGCAGAGAGCTGTCTGTCTCTTCAGAAGAATGGCAGTGGGGAAAAAGACCAGGAGTGGGTGGAGCTTATCTCTTAAAGGGGTCTTTGCACCTGCATAATGACTTAGCAGCCCTGGGCTGGCTAGGGTCCTTACTGCTTGGGTTCATCCTGCCAGCGGACAGGCAGGCCAGTATAATCCTAACAAGTTTCATGTACAAATCTGAGTTTTTTCTTGGTTCGTCTCTTTTCATACAGATGTATTGGTCACACTCCCTTGGCTTTTGTTTGAGAAGAAACTCATTTTCACTTTCCTTTCTAGCAGATATTTTAGCTGAGTCTAAAATTTTGAGAAGAGGACTTTTGTTTCCCCAGCACTTAACATTACCATTTCATTGACTTCTGGGTTGAATGATTTTGGACAGACGATCATAATTATTTTTATATATGCTTAATTATTTTTTCACCTTTCACATATTTATATATTTTTATATATTTATATTTATTTATTTTTAAGCCACCTTTAAAATATTCTTTTTATATGGTTTTCAGCATTTTGGATATGATGAGCATAACTTTTATTTTAATTCTGTTTCCCTGTTAGTGTTTCTCAGAGGCTATGGGATCTTTAATTCGATTTTTCAATGTTTTAAAAGAAATTCTTAGTCATTCTTGTCGTGATTCAGCCACAACATGGCTGACACTTCCAGGCTCCAGGGCTACGCATGTGCAGAGAAGCCCTCAGGTGTGACCCACGTACGGCATGGTTGCATCACCTACATATGACGTAGCTGTATGAGCCCTCGCGCACATGCATGAACTCCATCACCTGCGTATGACGTAACCACATCATCCCCCTGTGCACGTGCACCGGGAAGTCCTAAAAAGCTGGATGCGCCATCTTCAGCTCTCTCTCTTTCTCTCTGCACACCAACCTCACCAGGCCTGTACAGCCTTCCCCATGAATGCCTAAGCAGGTTTGTTGCATGTTCCATGTTTTCTTCTTACACACGCCAGGTAATTTCAATTCTCTCTTCAAAGAGTTCTATTTTTCTTTCTCTTCCCTCCTGAAATTTCAGTTACCATGACTCTATTTAATATAATTAATATGTTCCATTTCGGTACCTTAATCTCATCAACTACACTCGCAAGTCTATGGTTTTTCAAACTTGGTTATTTCTTGTGGTCTACAATCAAGTTTTTACTATGTTTTTCCATCAGTTTTGTCAGATTTACTGGTGAAACTAACAAATTTCACGATTCGCTATTGTGTATGCACATGTTAATCTTCCTGCTGTAACCACACACCTGGCATGAAGCACCAGAAAGTAATGATAAAGACCTCCAGAAATAGATTGCATAAAGCTTTATTAACTTGGAATTTTTATGAATGGTAATGATAAAGGAACAAAGACTGCAGAGAGACATTGAATAATAGGAAAAACCTACAAAATTAAATCAGTCAGTATACTTTAAAGATGTACTGACTGATTGTGTGGTGATGGCTCACACCTTTAATTCCAGCACTCAAGAGGCAGAGGCAGGCAGATCTCTATGAGTTCAAGGCCAGCCTGATTTACAAGAGCTAGTTCCAGGATAGACTCTAAAGCTGTAGAGAAACCCTGAATCAAAAACCAAAAACAAAACAAAACAAAGATTTACTGACCTCAGAATGAAAACCAGGGCATGTGTTACTTTGGGGAAGGGGTTTTCATTTTGTTTCCAGAGGAGAAGAAAAGCTATGGATACCATCAAAACTGATAAAGATTTGATTTTGAACCTCTTAGTTAGATGAGATGATAGTTCATCAAACATCCTGGTCTTTTAACCTAAACAAACCTATAAAACTAACAAAGTTTTTCATTTGATCAGAAGTAACTTGCCAAAAGAGAATCTCCCCAAAATTAGGGATGGAGAGGGTTCTGTTTCTGTCTTTTCAGGAGAATAAAGGTATCCAGCTAAAGAATCTGATGACAACTGGACAAATAAAGCATTTGAAGGAACGAACAAATTATCCAGAAAAAAAAGTTCCAAGAAAAACAGTAAATTGGCTTATTGTTATATCATATTTCCAACAGGGTAAAGTTTCATAAATCTTTCCCAATGTTTGTTTCTGCTGTTCTCTACAGACATATAATGTAAATCCTTTTTTTGTCCCAGTCCAGTTAAAGATTACAGTTGGCTTTGGACTTGGAGTGTGGCTCTTCCTTTCTCTAAACCCAAGCATGCTTTTTAAAGTAAGAAGAGCCACTTGATATGGGACAGAAGAAAAACAAATATTTAGGGACTACTTTATTCCCACTAATTTCATAATCTTATGGTTTTATATTGACTCTTTAATAGCTTTTTTATGCTATAAATTTCATAAGATTAATATATATTAATATATCAATACATATATATTAATCTTAATATATAATAATTAATATATAATAATATAATATGTATTGATATATTATATATGTATGTATATATACATATATATTTACACACATAAATATGTAGTTTCTAACTAATTCTAGAAAAAGGTTTCATCTACCTTCCTGTACATAATTATTTCGGGTTTGAGTCTCTATCAGTTTTCTGCAGTGAACCATGAGCATGCCTAACTGTGATCGTTGACTTCTCCAAAAAGAGATTGGGACCTCACAACAATGATTCCTCCAGGATTATATCACCACAAAGTTGAAAAACACCACCTAAAGATCGGCTTTTGACTACAAAATGCTCAGAATAATTTTGAGGTGGCTAGCTGAGATGATCCAGCCTAGCAAACTACTCTAGCCAGTTTTGAGACAAAACCCTGCACTTCCTCATCACACAGAGATTGGACAGCAAATGATACAGCTACCTCTCCCAGGACTTGTCAATTAACGCAAATTTTTCTTTTGAGAATCCCCTAAAGATGCTGCCACCCCCAGAGAGCAGGAAATAAATTTAAGAATACGAGGCCCACATTCATTCCCAAGAGGTGGGGTGGGTGGTTTTTTGTCATTCATTGGGTTAATGGGTATTTGTCATTGTTTAGGGAGATTGATTACAAGCTGTTATTGGCTATGGTCAGCAAAAGAAAGTTCAACAAAGGAGATTAGATTCAGAGTTCTTGTTCTGAAAAGAAAAAAGGGGATACAGATATGATAGGATAAAAGGGTAGATTATTGAATCTACCCTGAAAAGAAAAAAGAGAGGATATAGATATGATATAAGAAAAGGTAGATTATTGAATCTACTTTTAAAAAGCAACTGTTTTTCAAATATTTTACATTGGGTTGAGTTTTTGTATATGGCATACAAATTTTATATAGTGATATAAAATTGAGATTAATTTTTAAAAATGTACCGTACTTACATTTCTAATTTTGTTCAAGGTAGTGCACCTATACAGCTCATTTAACAATGTAATGCAAATTTCTAGCTTTTGAAAGTTATTATCACCAACTGTTTAGGATAATAAGGAAATTCAGGTTAGTAATTAGTCACCTATTACAATCAAACTTGAAGTCACATTAGATATGCTTTCACAGTCAAACATAGACATATTTTAAATAGACAGGTCATCTTCAAACACTTCAGTGATATACAGAATATGGCATTTAAGATGTTTTAATAACATACTTAATACTTTAATAACAATGAGACATGTCTGCTTCTGGCAGTACCAATGTACTTCAGAGAAGATGATGGACATCGAAGAAACTCCACAGGGAGTTTACTTTCATTGTGGTGAATATAAACTACTGGGCAAGAACATGTCCTTGCCTTGACTGTTGACAGAATGCTATCCTAATTGGACAAAAAGAACACAAAAGCAAGTGACTGCCAAACATTGTCAGGACAAGGCATAGCAGTCCTTCAGAATATCCTGCTCCACAGAAGGTCTGCCAAATATTCTAGGCCTGAATGCATGGACATGGCCATTGAATGTTTGTTTTTGACTAGTCTTGAATGTATGAGTTTACTCTGTTCTGTGTGTCTTCACTGTAGCTCAGCGGTTGCTGTTACAGCCAGTCACACAGGCTCAGAATTTATCTCTGGGTTCTTTGGTCATTGGCTCTGATGTAATAGATATTCAAATGTTAATTGAATATGGGTAGTATTAAAATTGTTTTACACTATTCTGCTTTATTGAACAGCTGGCTCTGGGATTGGGTTTTCACTCACTATTTTTCAGACCCAGACTTGATTTTGAAGTCTCTATGTTCATGGCCAGTGTCAAAGACTGGTGGGCAGAAAGAACAAGAGTAAAGTGTAAGTTTTCTGGATATAGTTAAAAATCTATAATATTTGCCACAAAAATAACTCAAAACTTAAACACAGGGTTAATAGTCAAAGGGTTACATGGGCAATATTAGGAAAAGACTCGATCTATCAGTGTTGATAGTTCTAGGGAAATATTCAAATGTGCTAACTTTGTTCTGCTTCGAAATGATTTCCTTTACTAAAATATGTCAACCCAAAACATGCTTTTTAGGGTAAAAGTCCTACTCTGAAAAGGTTCAAAATTGCATTGGAATCCCAAACACTCAGTGATATCATGGCCAACTAAACTTAGGGCCCCAACTATTAAGCAACAGAAATTGAGATATTCCAATCTAATGATACAGTAAGATGGTGACCTTAAACAGTCTGGTAAGAGGACATGGAGCAGTTTTTTAACCTATAGGCCGTAAACTTTTGGTTTTAAAAGACATTTTTACAGGAATAGTCTAAGGTTGCCTGCATGTCAGTTGTTTGAATCATGATTCATAGCAATGCACCACAAAAAATTGAAAACCATTAGCATAAAGGTATATGTCTAACCCATTTGTTTTGCTAGCATTGTTAGGCTGTAACTGGGTCATACAGGGGACTGTTATGTTCTAAGGGGGTACACTATGTAAGTACCAGAAAAGTTCCCAGTCTCCTTATGGACTATGTTTATGAGCTAAAAAAAATCGTGTCTTAGTACTAATAGTCAGTCACCTTATAAAGGGTCAAATTCTTTGATATGTTCTGAGTAGCTTCTTGTATATGTTTTCAGGGCGTTCATAACTACTTTTAATAGATAATGGTCCTAGGATTATTCAGAGATCTGAGACTATGTCATTGAAAATGTTTAGTAAAATACCCTCTCATGATAAACATGCTGGCTCCTAACTCCTCCAAAGAAAATGATGGGCACAGAAGAACCTCCACCTGGAGTTTGCTTTAAATGCGGCAAGGCTGTCACCTGCTGTTCACCTCAACTGCTGCCAAGACCCTATCCAGACTGTGGTCAAACAGGACACTAGAGAAATTTATTCCCCATTTTACTTACACAAGTAGGCCAGTTTCTGCAAGTTCCTGCTCCATGGGAAAGTCTCTAAGATCTTCTGGACCTGGCAGCCAAGGACTGATACTACCTTCAGACCTCTGCCCAACAGCCGCAAAGGAACCTGGGATTGCTGTCTAGGTAGCCCGTAGGTCTCTGACATTTGAGTTGGTCCTTTGCAGATCTCTGATGATGTTTGATGACTATACTAGTGATGGCTTCTCTGGCTTAACAGTTCCGTTCCCGAGGCTGCAGTCACCTTGTTAGCTCATTAGTCCATTATTAAGTAAAGCTACAAGGTTTCTCATTTTTAAAGGGACAGACAGGTTTGCCTTGTTCACAGGCTCCTTGTTAAAGGAGAAATAGGTTTCAGGTGTAGCATGCTTTACAATGACTGTTCTCTAATAAGTGCTTATGTCTCTGATAAATAATTAAAGTCCATACAAGGTTCCAGCTCTGATGTTGCAAAAAATGTTGATGGTATATAAAGGTCTGAGAATGTAAACACTTAAGTAAATTCTGAGTGTCAAAAAATGTTCACACTTCTTAGAGCCTTTACTGTGACTCCGTGGTGTAAATCTGTTGTGTTTTACAGATACCTGTTGATGGCCTCTTCTACTGTGAATCTGCTGTGGGATAATCTTTTGTATACTGTGAAGATTTGTCACTCAGATTGGTCTGATTAAACCTGATTGGCTGGTAGCCAAGCAGGAATTATGGAGGGACAACCAAACTAGAAGGATGATGGGAAGAAGAAGCGCAAAGTCAGAGGGGAAGTCAGTCAGCTGCCGAGGGAGCAGGATGTGTAGAAAATGAGGTAACAAGCCATCAGCTCCATGGCAAAACATAGTTAAGAAATGTGGACTAATTTAAAATGTAAAAGTTAGCTAGTAATAAGCCTGAGCTATTGGCGGAGCATTTATAATTATTTATACTGAGTCTCTGAGTCAGTTATTTGGGAAGCGGCTACCAGTTGTTTGGGAGTAGGCACTCAGGACAGGAAACCTCCACCTACATGAATTTGTAGTGCTCATATATCTAGAACTTTTATCTATTTTGATAAAATAAAATTCATGTAATATTCAAGGAATCAAAGTCATAGGCTTAGGTCCACCTGTCACAAGTCAAATGAAAAGTTCTGAATGTAATGATTTTAAGTTCTTGAATCTTAACCTCTATTTCTTGTCTGTATCTCAGCAGATTTCTACTTGGTTGACAGATACACTGTCCAGGGAGTGCATGCAAGTGTCAAGCTGCTGAGTTCTGGACTTGCTGAAAGCTGATCTGAACCAGTCCAGCTGATGTGATTGCTCCCCTTTCCTTCACCTGGATCAGCTAACGGGATGCTTCTGATAAATACCCCATGGCCCAGCCTTAACCAGTCTTTCAGCCTTCTTGGACCCTGACAATTGATGCCCTAATTCAGCTGGAAGCAGCTGTAGAAGAAAGTACATCGTCCCTGTACCCATGACATGCTGAGAAAGGCTGAATCCAAACAAAACTCCCTGACAAATTTGATAATGGGAACGGTGGGGCCTTTCGTTGCAGTTCTACTAATCATAATATGTGCACCCTACTGTTGAACTCTATCTCTCACTTCATTCATAGGAGGATCAATGTGCTTAAGCTCCTAGTCCTGCAGACCCAATATGGTCCCTCACAGAACCCGGACCCCTGACATCAATGATTTGATGACCTACTAGAAGAGGGGGAAAGTTAGATCCTAGTTATCAGTATTTTGTCCATTCTGCCCTGAGCTGCTACCCACAATTTTCTGAGGTTACTCACACAGGTGTTAACCATGAACATTCCACTCCCTTCTGATTGGTTGGCCCAGAGCCCGTTCAAATCACCAAACCACAGAACTCCCTGAAAGGCTAAAAGGGTATCACTGTGGAAAGTTCCTAATGGCTTCTCCATATTACATTAAGATTGGAGCTGTCTCTTTGTGGTTTTCCCCTTTAAAACTGGTGGATGCCCTGCCTTGGTGGTACAGTTTGTAGCCCAAATCCTGTTGCCTCTCTGATATCAGTTTTTCTAAGTAAATTTTTGGTTGGCTCAAACCTGGTCTTTTGTATGGATTATTCCTGTATTCTTGGACCCTAACATTCCCATCAGTGACAGGATTGATGTATGCAACTTAGAGGTTCAAGAAACTTATACTCAACAATTTGTCCAGACCATGTACGTGGTGGAGCCTGGAAACTGCTCTCCAGCAAGTTGCCAAAAGGAGGTACCAATCCTTAAAACATCTCCATTGATTTCCAAAACACCTGCCTTCTGTTTGCTTTCTTTAAGATCAAACTTGAGATTGCTGTCAATGTTGGCCCGAGAATCAGGGAGATATTGGTCCTGTAGGAGACAAGATGTGTATTCAGGAAGGCGGTCTACCTTCTATGCAGAATGGGTGGTTTTTGCATCCTAATCACGAACCCATGGCTCCCCAGCTGGGAGATGGGGGTCACGGGTTAGTTTTACTCTAGCGTCTATCACAGTCATCCATCTGGCTTGATCAAAACACAATGGGTTTACGACCCATTCTCTCAACCCTTAGGTATAGACAAGGCAGAAGAAATGGTCCACAGCACTCAAATGTCCTTACATCCCTAACATCATTCTTCTTAGATGACATAAATCCCAACACCTCTGTCTTCATGGTCGCTCCATCTGTTATTTCTGACCTTAAGCTCTGATTACCAATCCCTAAACAACACTCTGTTTGGCCACTTAAGAGAGTGCTGTTTGTGGAACCCTCCCGCGTCACCATTTGTATCCTCACCCACTGAACTACCAGACTCCCTTACCTCCCTGCTTATTAATTGCTCTGAGCCAAATTCCACTGCCACCTTTATCTCTCCCATCTTTCTCTCTTCGGTGTTGGAGGCTGTTTTAACTTCTCAGGGACACACTTTGGGCACACAGGATTCCTCAGATTATAATAATACCTTGACTCTGAGCTGGCCCTTATGTCCAAATGTTCACAGTGCCTACCTAGATCCTCTATTGATGTCGACCCTGTGGGTGGTTTGGTACTTGTGTGTGTACTGGTGTACCTTCTCCTAAAATTAGAAGTGGTACCTGACAAGGAACCCTTGCCAATTCCCATCACAGGCCTTATAGTGGCACAGGATGAGAAATGAGTGCTTCAGGTCTGACCCCTTCTTGTGGCCGTGGTAATGCCCACTGACATCACCATTGGCATGGTGGGACTGACGGTTGTGGAATATTTAACTATGTAAAGATGCGTTACTATGGTTTATTCTGTGGAATATTACTTTAACTATGTAAAGGTGTGTTATATTTGTTTCTGCTGCCTGTTGTTTTTTTTTTAACAGTGCAAAGATGTGTTACTTTTGTGGATGCTGCATTTGTTTTACTATGTAAAGATGTGTTACTGTTTCACCTTGTCTGCCTAAGGTACCTGATTGGTCTAACAAAAAGCTATTGGTCGAATGGCCAATAGCTAGGCAGGAGAGGGTTAGGAGGGGTTGGCAGACAATAAATAGGAAGAGAAATCTAGGCTTAAGAGAAGAAGAGAGGAGAGAATGAGGGAGATGCTTGGGACCAGAACTCAGGCAGCCACCAGTCAGCCAGACATAGAGATAAGAGAAAAGTAAAATTAAAGAAAGAGAGGGAAAAAGCCTCAAAGCAAAATGTAGATGAAGAGAAAGAGGTTAATTTAAGTTACAGCCAGCCAAAAATTAGCCTAAGCTAGGACAAGCATTCATAACTAATAGGAGGTCTCTGTGTCATGATTTGGGAGCTGGTTGGTGGCCCAAAAGAAAAAGCCTGGTACGACTGACTGCTTCCCTATTTATTCTCAGTTTTCCATCCAGTTTATCCAGAATCTCTAATTGGTGACTCAGACAATCCTTACCCTCCAGGGCCAAAGAATCTCACTCTCCACCACAGTGTTACAGAACTGCTGAGGATTAGACTTACTAACAGAGGAGAAGGGTGGTATTTACCTCTTCCTTGGGGAGCAATGTTGCTTTTATGTCAACTAGTCAGGTACAGTAAAAGACAAGATTCAACAACTTCAGAAGTACCTTTAAAGACATAGGAAGTATCTCATTGCTGCTAACCAGTGGATCATTAACAGTCCAATTTGGAATCGGATGCTGCCTTTCTTAACCTCCCTTCTCTGCTTTCTTAATCCTACTGGTAGCACCCTGCCTTAAAGATTTCTTGTCGAGATTTCTAACTAGACTTCTAATAAGTTGCTAATAGAGGATACTAGTCCCTAGCTACAGAACTAGAGGCCTGCAACTCCCAATTATATATTAATGGTGAAAGTCAAACTTGTAATCTGCTGCCCTGGTCTGTCACCTGGGTACCCTGCCCCTTAGGAGACAAACCCTGCCCACCCCCAGCTCCCCCTTCTTCCCCTGCCCCAGACAAGCAGATCTACTGCCACCTCTACAGCACACCCCCCTCTGTCTGTCTGCCTTTCTTCTGGAAAGGCAGCAGCTGCCTCTCTCCCCTTCTCCCCTCTCCCCTTCTTCTCTTTCTCTCTCTTTTCTGTCTCTACTTCTCCTCCCTTACTCTTATGCTGTTCCCAATACCCACTAAATAAACTCTATCCCCAAGCTCTCTCTGCATGATTTATCTGTCTGTCTCCCTCCCAGGCCTGAGGCCACCCACGGAGGCCTTGAGTCACCTGCTGCTGCCCCTAATGGGACCGGCCTCAGATCACCCTGCATCATGAATGATAACAAAGCTCGCACCAAGGACTCTGATGCCCAGGATCAACACTGGATCAACAGCTCCAATGATTGACTTTTAGGGGGCTTTCTCAGGGGCAGAGTTTGAGGAGGGCAGCTCCTAAGGAGGGGCTGCAGCCTGGCGCACTGAGAGGTTTGGAATGGGAGGAGTGAGACCTGAATGTGGAATGGGACCCCGAAGTGGTTCTTCCCCCAACCCTTTTAAAAGTAAAAAACAAAATATAGGTGAGCACAAAAAGTTCCATGGCTAAGCAGGTTAAAAAGATTCTGAAGAACATCCGTGTAGGACTGTCTTCTGCTTACATTTATTTGTCAATTATTTCTTGGGAAGAGGATAACGCAGGCTCTTCAGGATTTTGATCTCAGGTTTTGGTCTATCAAGTTATCTTGCTGTCAGATAAAACTAAAATTCTCTTCTAAAAAACTTTTAAATTACATTTGCTTATTTCCTGTATGCGTGTATGCAAGTATATAACACACTCATCCGTGCTTTTGGAGGTCAGAGGAGAGCCTGTAGGAATTGGTCTCCTCCACCAACTGAGATCTGGCCTGCTTGTCAGGCTTGACAGCGAGCGACTTCACCTGACACACCCTCTGGCTGGCCTCACACGAAGGTAATATTCTTACATGACAAGCTGTCAAAGAGGTGGGAATTCCTTAGGGCTCCACACTCTGCCAGCCATGCCGTGTGGCTGTTATTCAAAAATTCAGCACCAGGGAGAGATTGGGAATGAAGAAAAAATGCATTTCAGAAAGCTATTTAAAATGCAGAAGTGACAGATTTATTTAGAGGGGAATCTAGAGTGATGTCTGGGACTCTGAGAGGAACAGTGGCTGCAGAACCCAGCCATGACAAGCTCAACAGAGGCCTGAGTCTTAATAGTTTACCCTGAGACAATACCTGGTTCCCGTAAAGACCACAAGCTGAGACTACCCAGGCACCACCCAGTAACAGACCATCCAGAAGAAATTCCTAGTGTTCCAACCATTGTAGATAGGATCACCTGCCAGCATACACCCTGCTAATGTAATCTTCTTGTTTTTTACCTTTAAATAATGCCCTCTAAAAGGGCAGGGTACCTCCTCTTGGAACTGCTGCACTGACGAGGTCCCTGACTGCTTCTCTTGTGCACACAATAAACCTTGCTTTTGCATTTCAGTGAGTTGGTCTCTCTGGTGGCCTTTCAGGGTCCCCACGGTCTGGGCATAACAGTGGCTATCACTGGATGAGCAGATGCCAAGCGAATGTCTTTGGGGAAGACAAGGTTGGAAGAGTGTTTCTGGCAGGCAGAATTTTAGGGACCTGGACGACATCCAAATGGTAATGCTTCCTTGGCTAAATAGTTCTGGAGCTCAGGGAGAGCCATTTAAACTAAACACTCAGATCTGAGCCATTTACATTTAGGTGGTTATTAAATTCACGCGGGTTAATTAGCTCGAGGAGAGTGGATGCAAAGAGAAGTTAGAAGGACAGGATGGGAATCAATATGACAGTTAGTTAAACCTGGGACTTCTGCTTTGTATGACGCAATCTCAAATGTGGTGAGTGGTCACAAGTCCATAATGCTGTCTGATTCTAGTTAGAAGTGAGTAGATAGCCTCTCGAAATCAAAGCCTGCAAGACGGCTCAACAGGTAGAGGCATTTGCTGTCTAAGCCTAATGACCCAAACTCCATTCCCAGAACCAACATACCATAAGCTCTCATACAATAAGAAAGGTTTTAAAAGATTAAAACCATCTGACAAGTACTTAATAGATTAGCACCAACTGATTTCAGAGTGTGCCATTACAACATAAATTGTTAGATTGACCAAAGCAGGCTTGCAGGCATACCCTCCCTGTTTTGAAGCTAGGGCAGAGGAACTTTCCAGCCAGAGGTTGGAAGACCACAGCAGCTTGTGGAGGAGGAAAATCCCTTGGCAAAGCTGATTGTTGAAAACAGTCGTGAGTTTCTGGCCTTGACCCGAGTTCCTTGGATAGTTCCAGGCTGCTACAGCTGTAGCAAAGAGAAGGAAAGCTTGAAAGGGTTGGGAGATGTCTGTGGGCAGATCCACAGGTGCTGCTGGACTGGAGAAATGAGAGAGAGAAAAGATAGTTTTTAGAAAGCAAATGAACCCTTCAGAAGGAGGAAAGAAAGCCAAGCCCGAGAAAGAGCTTCACAAAGGAGGTCAAGGAGACCGAAAAAATCTGTTCCCTTTGGCTGAGGGCACATTGTTCTGGCTTCCCAAGAAATTGTCCCTTACTCCAGGAAGATGAGTCACCCCTGATCTTATGTTGCTTTTTTTTTTTGCAAACTACTCCTAGCAGGAAGCCAGAGGATTCGTAACTTGCTCAGGTC